ACTCCTTATGAACCCCAGTCACCCCCGACCCCGGTCAAAAGACTTTTTTTTTTTTTTTTTTTTATGGCTTTCACTGGTGTGCAGGCAAGTCTGAATTGTGAGTAGCGCGTAGTACCACGTTGCGCCTCAACCTGCCGAGCAGCACTGAGGTCTACTGGACGCCATGCAGCGTTACTAACAGCAAGAACAAGAGGCAAAGAAGGTCCCCCACGAGTAATACTTGTTGTTCCCAAAGAGCAGAGAACACAGATGCCTCTTGAGTATTGTCGTACAGTATGTTCTGTTCGCATATGTTGCTGCTCCGTGTACGTTAAAGTACGGAACAGGTATTTGAAGCATGATACTTACGATAGATTTTAAATTTCATGTCTATGGCGTAGAGTTATAATAGGTTTGGGGATTTTTCATTATGGGTGATTTTGATTTTAATTGAGTCCCCTGGTCAATATTTCCAATGAAAGCTTCTTGCTTTCCAGCATCATCACGCAGCTTCCTGTTGAGCCGCCACCTTGCTGGTCGTAAAAGCTCTTGAGCAAACACGAATGACGTCGTAATATTTGGGTTGGCGGGGGCCGAACGGCCATTTAGACCCATTGCAATGTCATGTGAAGAGGTCTTCCACTCCAACGCGTCCTACATGTTATCGAGAAGAGGAAACATTGACATATTAAAAAGAACAAGACCGATTTATTGTGTCATCGCAGTTGCGTTTCATGGTAACCAAATACAATGAAGACATGCTGAAAGTGACGTACGGTGTGCACACTTATAAATATAAATACTTTTTTTGGGGGTCTGGGGGCGTAAAATATCCAAAAGCACAACTGACCATGTCAAAATGTTGACATTATCACTGTCATTTACTTGTCATATTTAATTAGTTTGTTTTATTTGATCTCAAGCTGCCCTTATCGTAGTGTTATTTCTTCATAAGCCACAATTGTAAATACTATCCAACGATTACCTTTTTATTGGGTAGCACAGTGTTGGAGTGCTCAGCATGTCAGGTTTAAGCTGTGCGTGCAAGAAAGCGGAATGAGGCAAAATTGAGGTCAGACTGCGATATGATCATTCAGAGGCTAATGATTAGTCCCTTTATGGCGCCGCACCATACAATTTGATGTATCAATCGGCAGCCCATTAGTAAATTACGTAAATAAGTTACTGACTGACCTGTATGAAATCAAATTGTTCATCCGCCAATAAGAAATTATTTTGGGATGTTAAGCTCAGACAATTACGTGGATATACATTATGAAGTCAGTGCTCAATATGTGTGAGGACATGTCACGTGCGCATGTCTAATTTTGCACCAAAAAGAGGTCAGACTTATTAGTATTGTGACACTATCTCTTATTTTCAACCACACGTGATTGATTGCTGATAAAACACAGAAGTGATTCATGTTTAGCAAATACTTGCACAATCTAATGAGTTCCAGTTCAAGAGCGCTTCTAAAAAAAAACTGTTTACCAAGATAATAGCTCAGTTTTCTGTGAGACAGTTACTCATTGAACACCATTACTATTGTGGTTAAGTCAAACTGCATGACATCGCATGGAGAGCTGCTTTTCTTATTTTGGCAACCTTATTTTGGTGTGTAAGACAGTTTTCCATTTAAGTAAACAGGCCGTTTTAGGATACGCCTTCTCTCTGCAATGCTGCCCTCTAGTGGAAAATGTGCCTCTCAAAAAAAAAAGAAAATAAAACGAGTGAAAAAACCTCAGTTCAAATCTAACGGGCTACAGTTTTCGGTTTTTCTCGGTTACTTTTGAGTATTTCTCAGATCAGAACTGAATTTCTCTCTTTTTCCATTTTTATATCAATTGATGGGTTTCCATCCTCCTATTTTTATTCGAATTTTCAAGAATTGCAAGAAAAACAACCCTAAATGGAAATTTGAAAAAGGCCTAAAATCCACAAAAAAAGTGTATACACACTGGGGCAGTATGGGAACTTAGTGCCTCACATCCAGTCGATTTATTTCTCCCATGATATTATCTCATTTATCATAACCTGGTTTTCATTTAAAATAAGTATTACTAGTATGTTGTGATCGTCTGTGAAAAGAAAACACACACACACACACACGTGATAGACACAGACAGACAGACAGACAAATAGACGAATAGATAGATAGATAGATAGATAGATAGATAGATAGATAGATAGATAGATAGATAGATAGATAGATAGTCTGTTCAGGTTATGCGACTGAAGGTCAGTGTAGTTGACAAGAAAATGAATGACTCCTAAACCCCGCCCAGTTGTTGACGTCATCCACTGCCCCTCTTGGTTTTACGATTGACTTCGCTGTCCGCCGAGCTTCACATTGAAAGAAACCCGTTTCACAGGATGTTTTGCAAGGCGTGATGTTAGTATGAAGATTTAAAGCACCGTGGACGTGGAAGAAAGAAGAGAATATGCGGCCGTCTTCATCGTCATGAACAAAAAAAAATATTTTTAAAACAGAGGAGTAGAGGTCGTGCATTGATATATTGATTGATTGATGCATTCATTTTAATGACTGCAGATCCTTTTCTTATTCCTCCTATTGATGTTTGTTGTGCACGTGTTCTCGAACTAAAGTGGACGTACAACAGCTGGAATTAAACGAGGTGGGAAAAAAAGGAAGTAAATGGAGCAGGTCGACATCTCTGCTGACAGAAACGTCCTGTGCCTGTTTGACGTGGATGGGACTCTGACGGCACCAAGAGAGGTGAGCTGCTTATGGATTGATTACTGGTCACGACGAGATTTCGGTGTGCTGCTGCTGTATAGTTGTGAATTTCGAGTAGGGGACATCTCTGCAAGCACATGGCATATCGACGATTATATTTTCGCACTGTAAAGATGGCAATCGTCCAGATGCATCAAGTCTCCTAAAGGCACATCATTCTAGCTCTGTATCTAAGTTTTCTTTCTTGCAATGTAGCAATTACACATTCGATTAGGGTTTTATCTCATTACGTGTTGTGAGTAGTGTTTACTGCAGCATAGCGGCACGCTCTGTGCCTTTTCTTTTTTTTTCAGTGTCAAATGTGGGCTTGTTGAAGACAAAAAGATGATTCGTTCGTACGAATGACAACAAGTGGTTATGCAAGTTAGCTGTACTTTCTGACCAAGTGGAAGAGCATTTAATTGTACATTACATGTCACTGAGAACAAATATTGGGAAACACTTCTTAATTCCACTCATTAACCAGTCACTGACTGACTGCCGCCCGAGCAAACATCTTTCATATATGTGTTTCTTCTGTCAATAGAGTCTATTTTAATGATACGCCGTGTGTCCATTCAGTCCAGTTTGGATAAGTTACTGCTTTTTGTCTTTGCACTGAGCAATGGGTCTTCTCTTTTAATTTGCAGAAAATTGACCCTGAGCTGGATGAGTTCTTCCAAGCGTTGAGAAGGAAAGTCAAGATTGGCATCGTCGGAGGATCCGACTATTCCAAGATCGCGGAACAGCTCGGGGAAGGAGATGACGGTGAGTTGAGTCTGTCTGTCTTTCGCTTGATACTACAAATAAGGAACCGGGATGGATATACTGTATCTTTCGGTGTACGCTATAGACAGCCAGCCATGACTTCAAACTTTGGGCACAGTTTGTGACATATAGACGGACTCAACCATAATATCAACGACTGCGATGGTAAAACTTTCCCTGTTATAGCACATCTTTGTAATAACTAACACTCTAGTTTTTGACACCGGACTTACTCTTGGTTTGTTAGTGGCAAAAATACATGACCAGAACACTTATCAGTGTCTGTTACCTTTTTACTCCCGACGCCATGTCAATATTTGTTCTTGTGAGTCCCAAACTTGCTCAAGCAATCAGAACAATTGAGTCAGCTGATCTACCTCCAAGCCACACTCTTCTTCGATATTTCCTTTTTACAATCTCGGGCTAAGTACACACGCATGAGCACGTCCGTCCGCATTTCACCATGTTTCCTCTCTTGCAGTCATCCGCAAGTTTGACTATGTATTTGCTGAGAATGGCACAGTGCAATATAAAGATGGCAAGCTCCAGTCAAAACATGTACGTAAATGACAGCGGTGGGAAGTGACTCTGTTCAAATACTTTGTTATTGTCATTACAGATACCGTATCCGTATTTTAATTATTTGTTTTTCTGACTTTTTACTTTGGTTTTTCCGTTTTATTTGAAAACAGATATCGGTACTGAAGTAGTGAGATTGTCGTATTTTTCATCTTCACAGGCAATCCAAAATCATATTGGGGAGGAGCTCTTGCAAGACCTCATCAACTTCTGTCTGAACTATATGGGGCTCATCAAGCTTCCAAAGAAAAGGTCTCACGCAATTTCTGCACCATTTCACGTTTCTGTGGAAGGTTTTGAAAAAAAAAAACATCCTTTCGCTAAGAATGTCTCTCGATTTACAGAGGAACGTTCATTGAGTTCAGGAATGGAATGCTCAACATTTCCCCCATCGGTCGGAGCTGCAGCGACGAGGAACGAATCGAATTCTCTGAAATTGATAAGGTGAAATGCTGTTATTGGAATGTGATTCGAATATCAAGCTGCCATTTGAGGCACTCGAATCAGCCCTGTGCTTTTTTTTCCAAGACAGTTAATGGATCGCTCAAGCGGACAGAAGTTTCACCCTTCCGTTTCTTGCTAAAATTGACACAAATCATATTAAGCGACTGTAACGGACATGACGTGTTTTCAGGAGATAAAATGATTGCAGTAGTCCGAGCTACATCAATTCGGTTATGCCGCAACAAGGTTTTTCTTCACAGAGAGAAAAGATCAGGGAGAAATTTGTTGCTGCCCTGATGACGGAATTTGCTGGAAAGGGACTGCGGTTCACCAGAGGTGAGACCGTCGCTGGAAATGTTCATTATCGCGAGAACGTGATCTGAGTTATTCGAACAATGATTTATGATTCGAGTAGTTTCAAAAATGTTCATATTAGTCTGATGGTACCCGTGTGCAAGTCTATTCTCATTCAACCAGATAATTTTATTCTTCGGGTACTGAATCAAACACAACGGGACTGTTCTGGTGATCTTAAAAATAGGATGCAGCGCAGTTGAACAACAACAATAACAACAAAAGAGCTTGACTATCCTTGTAAAGAGAGTTTAAAAAATGTAGAACACATATAGGATCTTGTTAAATTGCGCAAGTGTGCCTAACGTTGTGATTCCCCCGAGCTACAGTCAGAACTCATCTTCACTTTCCTCAGCATTAATGGCTGGAGGCAAAAAGAATCAGCGCTAACTGCCAGAAATAGTAGCCCTGCCTTGGAGCAGGATGTGCGCAAACTTTAGTGTCACTTAAATGGGCTGCTAATAACATACACACGTGCCTACATGCCTTGTGTGTCTTTTACATCCATTTTCATCAGCAGTGCTAATATAATATTCTGACAATCAAAGGGGGGGGGGGAGTCAATAATGCTCGACATTTCTCATCTTATTGTAAAACAACAAACTGCTCCTCCATTTTATGACCATCATTTTACTCCTTGCTACCATCACTCTCGTTCATCCGTTCCACCATTTTGTGCCACCGCAACTCAACAGCTGTTGGGTCGTTCATGAACAAACCAGTTCAGTGATTCATCAATTACTCTTTATGATTAGAACGACAAATTACAAAATAATTGCTGAATTCTAATTGGGCTTGTCAAAAAGGGACAAAGTGAACCACATGTTTACTATTGCGGCGTTTACAACCGCACTGACTCAGCTGTGTTGTTTAGCTTGCGGACGCTTAATTGCACAAACTCCTTTTTCTTCCATTTTAGAAAGTTTCCTCAAGAAACTTCTTTGACGTGACGCGCTGGTGGACGGACTAACAATAGGCAGCCTAAGTTTGAGGTGACGAGGACGTGTGAGGTGTGTGCGGAAAGCAGCTTTCTGATTGGCCGGTTGCCCAGCTGGTGCCTTTTGTCACTTGGCTGAGAGACGCGGCAAGGGGGGAAAGTATTTCTGTTCGAAGGGAGGATTTGTGTCGCCTCATTTTAAAGGTCAACGCAGGCTTTTCCTTTTACCCTCGCGAGTGTAATTATAAAGTTATCTAATCAAAAACTGTTTTAATTAGGACTCTTTTTTTTTTTCTTCGAAATATATATTCCCGCAATCATCACCGAACTGGTTCTAAAACGCTGTGGTTGCGTTTGGACGACACGTTGACTTGGTGGGGCAGTGTTTGCTCATCTGCCTACAAGCTCACTGAACTGTGAGAACAAAACAGGTCTGTCCACTGATCGAAAAAGTTAAGAGCCTCCATCAGTCACAGTTGTTGCGTTGACGGTAAAGGGACATTTGTTCCACAAAGCTGAACACAGCAAAGGCAGAGTGGCGTCAAGAGTGCATTTGACAGTGTGACGGGGTGTTAATGGTGTTGTTTTGGCACGTTTGTCCTCGTAAAAAAACAAAAAACAGGATTTATGTGAATTCGTTCAGTTGTCTTGTTACTTTGGAAAAATTTTGCTCACTGTTTTGTGTGCCCATAGGCGTTAAGAAAGCTGCCAATAAAATAGAATTTACTAAAAAAAAAGACTGGTGATTATGCGGGCTTGTGAGAATACAGGATTGATGTTGCCTCCTGCTCTTAGGCGGCCTTATCAGCTTTGACGTGTTTCCTGAAGGCTGGGACAAGAGGTTATGTCTGGATCTGCTGGAGAGCGAAGGCCTGCACGACATCTACTTCTTTGGCAACGAGACGTCAGATGTATGTTTATTTGTTGAATTTCTATCTTCACGCCCTGTGTTTTCACCTTACACACAGACCACGCGGGCGTACACTCATTAGCCGAAGATCCGATACAAGAGCTGTCTAAAATTCACATCATAGAGGAATTTGTTGAATGTCTTTACTGTTACATTCGTTTCTTGTTAATATTTTGTGTAATTTGGGGGTAAATTTTACTGCTTCAGAGGGTCAATATGTGAGAACCAGCTCTCAGTAGGATGCGGTTTACACCGCTGCAAACTAAAGCCACAAAATTCGTCATTCTTCTGCAGTCTAAAATACAAAGCGCATGATCGGCAAATGTTGAATCTGTTGTTTGTTGAACTCATTTCACCTTTCATCCTTTAAGGCTTCTTCACTCTTAAATTTTAGGTGTGGCGTCCCTATGTATGCCCGGGAGGGTGTGTCTCTTAGAAGTATTCGTGTTGTTGTTGTCGTCTGTGTGGTTGGCGAATCCTGTATTTGTACTGCATGCCAATCAGTCATTCGTTTCTCTTATGGCAACAGCTCGTTAAGATCGCTCTTACTGTACAACGAGGCAATCTTTTGGGAGAGGGATGGCATGACTTTGTTATGGCCAGATGATTTATTATGGCCAGATATTTCTGTGGTTCGAGACCGATTTGCTTGTTTGGCAGTCGCTTCACTAATCACGCTGTACAACAACAACACCGTTTTGTTGACTCCACACCTCCAATTTAAAACTAAAGAAGCATTTTGGATTAAATATAAAACGTTTCTACACGCAACAAGTCCAGTTGCTTCGATTCAACCTGTGTGCATTGACAAGGAAAAACCGGACTGACAAACTACTCCTGCGAACGGGCGTGGTGGCCATCAGGGAAATGTTAATTTTATCGAGTATTTCCGGACCAGTCCTGATTGCGGGCCTTTATTAAAAAAACAAAAACGTGTTTAGCAGCTGAATAAGCTATGAAATACCCATTAGCAGCAAAATATAACGCCATGTATATGTTTCATTGTGTAGTGGAAATTCCGCATGAACAAAAATGAGCGTAATTCAATCTTCTCCCACTAGGGGGAGCCAGAATACAGGCTCATCAATAATGGGAGGGTGGTCTCGCGCGATACAAAGTAAAGGATTTGGCGGAATTTGGTATCCCACTGGATCACATTAGACTGCGCAGGTGTACTTAATGTTGTGTTTACATCATTTGATCTTGAACAACTGACTTTTGTTTTCATTTTAACAACCACTTTGGTTTCCTCGTATTCCAATCATTCTTTTCCTGATGTCTGTCTACCACGACACACGTCTTCCATTGTGATCCAGTTCGTGTTTGGCCAAGACACACTCACGTTAAGTCTTGACACATTAGGGTCCAGGGGTTGTCCAAACTTGGTCCTGAAGGGCCGCTGTCCTGCTTGTTTTTCAGCTCTTCAGCTCTCCCAGAATGCTTGTGGAGGCTCTCAGTCGTACAGGAAAGTTCAATCGTAGAAAGAGTTCCGTCAGTCGTCATCTGTACCTGTGGTTAAAAAAAACAAAAAACAAAAAAGGACGTTTCGCTTCTCTCACAGAAGCTTCGTCAGCGGTAGACAACTCTGAAGTCTCCGTGAAGACTCTCCCAGAAGCAACACACCTGATTCAAACCATCAGGATGGTTCTAATGCTGCTTCAAAGCTGGCTGATGAGCTGATCATCTGAATCTGCTGTGTTGCAGCCTGGAGAGCTGGAAAACAGGCAGGACGGCAGCCCTCCAGGCCCGGAGCTGGGCATGCCTGCTTTAGACAAACTTAATAACAATGGGTTGTGTTCCTGTATTTAATCCGAGCATTTACAAACTATCCACTGAGTGCCTATGCCTTCTGTGGAGCTGAAGTCATACTGCATTCATCGGAGAGAGTAAAAGTCAGAGATCAGATCAAGAGTGGCTGATTCTCAACAAAACAGAAACTGCATCAGGCCGCACTAATCTTACCTCCTTGTCATTTGTGTCTCTTTTCCTTAGGGGGGAAACGATTACGAAATCTTTAACGACCCGCGTACGATCGGCGTCACTGTCTACTCTCCGCAAGACACTGCCAGGCAGTGTCGGCAACTTTTCTTTGGTGATCCATAATGTGAATCATGATATTATTTTACGAGCTCAAAGGACTATGCTGAGTATTTGTTAGACTTGCTGAAAATCAACCAGCAGATCAGAACAGGTTGGACTTGTTCTCCATATATATGATCGGTGTATGGGGAAAAAATTGAAAAATCAGACAAAAGATCCATGACTCACAAGATATAACAGATAAAGGGTTCCGTATTCTGTATAGAAGATGACTGGGTGGAAGATTATGATAATGATACACAAGATAAACATTTTCTTCTTAAGTGTTAAAAATATCTAAAGATAACCCTATACAGGGTGTAAAAGACAATTTGTCTTTTCTCCCTCGCTGTGCAAAACATTCCTTTGAGCTACATATTCATTGATTTGTCTGCTTTTATGTTGTTGATATTAACTGAATTTGAATTTTTAACCTTTGATTCTACAGTAAATTCAGCTTCTGTGATTAAGTCACAGTGCAAACTTAACGAATGTGTTTATTTTAACCCTTTTTAAAAGCTACTGCATGCTGTTAAGTCAGTCATTTTGTGTAGTTTCTTATTTTTTATTGACCGTGGTGTCAAAAAGTTGTTTGTGTCGTTTATGAATGACCAATCATGAAATGGGATTGAGTGCGTCTGCCTCATGCCCGTGCTAAACTGTCAGCATTTTCACCTTGAAAGTGATAAGGAGCGTGTGTGAACTGTAGCCTGCACTCTAAGATTCATTAAGCTGGTTATATTTATTATTTGATGACATATGTAACAAATTAATTGTTTTGACATCATTTCACTTTGCTTCTGAATGTCAACAACTGTTGTGTTTGTCAACGCTTGGAGGTGTTTTTGCACGTGTGAAGCACATTGAGTTGCCTTGCGTATGAAATGTGTTCGACAAATAAAGGTGCCTTGCCTTCCCTCAATGTGTGACATGAAGAGGCCTATACATGCGTACGCCTCTCGAGTCCCCCGCAGCCCTGTGCCCCAATTAAAAACAAAACAAAAAAACAGACACACAAACTTGTAATCATGAAATGGTTTCATCTAATTCCAAGGCTCAGGAAAAGCCACCACCAAAGGAAACAAAACTTTGAGGTGACGAATAATAATCCAAACCTGAAATTGACATTTCAGGCAGTGACACAGACAGAAATGCTAAGAGGTCGAAAACTGAACATAACCGCTCACAACCTGAAATTCTACAGGACAAACAACAGTTCTGTGACAATGACCAACTATAAAGTCATGTAGTCGACTATCATACAAACTAAGCATCCACAAAACACACACACACACAGTATTTTAATCAGTTCACAGCGCCATACACTGTATTGTTCGAAACACAACAGCAAAACGAGCGCAACCAGATCACTCTTGTATTAGAGGTTCACATATTGGGAGAGTTTGGTGTTCCCACGATTAAAGATCAACAGTTAAATAATCAAAAACGAATAAACACGAGACAACAAAATATGTGATCTACATGTTCCGCGTTGAGGGTCTGCTTCAGCCCTCCAGAAAGACTCCTGGACTCAACCATCCATTTAAAGCAACCTACTTTGTCTTGTTCAAAAACGCTCAACTATTTCTTTCTCAAGCAAAACAAACATTCACATTGATTCATCCCCCCCACCCCCCGTTCCATGAATTCGCCGTTTACCTTAAGTACCAGGAACAAGATTTAGGGGGGATATTTTCTACCTTATGTGTCAGGAAAGGAAGTGGATTTGGAAAAGGTGAGGAATCGGGTTTGGCACCTTTTGTCCTCTACCTTCGTTTGCAGGTCTCGCGCATCCAACGCCAGTAAAATGTTTGATAGCATCCGAGTTAAAGTGGAGGAGCAGTCGCTAATGGGTGGGTGAAACCGTCACGTAAAAAGGAAACACAGGATGCGCATCATGTACGTTTTCAGTCCCTCCATCTACGGTCCCTTGAAATCAAACCTAAGAGCTGATGATCTGCCCGGACCAGGTCTCGTGTTTCGTGCCTGGGTTGAGATGAATTATCTTCACCTCCACCGCCTGCAGCTTCAGGTTCTTGGGGGGGACTCTGCACACTTTGTATGTGACCTCATCGCCCTCAACGGGAACATATTCCCCATCGATGCTGAAACAGAGGACAAATGTACTGAGCCCGCCACGGTGTCACCAAATACACTCGGACATTGAGACAACGATACATTGACCGGTAGGGTATCAGATTTAATAGGCAAATAATAAATTTCGAATATGTGAGTTGTTTTCTTATTTGACCCGAGCAGAGCTAAGGCCGGTGTTTGAAATGCCTCTTAAGGTGTTCAACTACAACCACGATAACTGATTCAAGTTAAAAGGTAACCTAAGTGAAGGAGCGGTGCTGTGGATAAATCTGTGTGGCTCTTGGACTGGATCAATTTAGATGATGTTACTCGTCCAAGTCGTCGTAATTAGTGCATGACGCAGTTGACGCGAGTTTGTCCTAGTCGTGCAGCATAATAGTTTATGAGAAAGATAGAATTGCGTACTTGTAGCATTGCTACTCGTGTGCTGAATTATCCTGCTAGTGAGAACGAAGTGTGGACTAGATATCAAGGATATGGAAAAAAAAAAAACCTCAGACAGCTTTCTTTCCATGCCTTCAGAGAGTGTCAGCACATGTCGACTGCCACTCACTCTGAGATGTGAACAAAGATGTCTTCGCCGCCATGGCTGGGCCGGATAAACCCGTGTCCCTGTGACCTTGAGAAGTTCTTACAAAAGCCCTTGAACACCGGACCCGAGTGAGCCCGGACCGTGCTGCGTGCACACAAACAGAGAGGATGGGGGGGAGGGGGGGGAGATATCAAAAGTTACCAGGGAAGGTTACTGATTCAAAAGCCGAAAACAAAAGTAACTGAAATGCAGAAATGAAAAAGAAACTCGTGGATGTCAGTTAGCCAGAACTTCTTCATTGTGTCGCAAACACAACGGATGGGGAGATGACTCAAAAACAATATTCAACACCCAGCAAGTTGTGTGAAACGCGTCAGTTCAGGGACTTGTTGTTACTTATTTGCTAATAGACATCTTTTATGATGCTTACTAACCCATTTCAAATATGTCATGGAATACAGCAGTCAGTTGTAAGAAGCGGACTCAAGTCAAGTCAATCTAATCTGACCGGGGCTTTCACAATCAGCAGTATGGGTCGATAAAAACAATGAAACGTAATCTTAACTTAATTATCAGTGGGAGTGTTTGGCGTAAGCAAAATTAGATGAGCAAAACACATCTTTGACGATCTGCAAACATCAATTAATACAATAAATAATCAACATTTATCAAAGAGGACCCACTGTTTTCTATTGTATTCACCTTTTTTTTTTTTTTTTGCACTGTATAAACAGAAAGTACTTTTTCACAGGAGTGACTTACGCCGAGTATGTGCGAGTCCGTTTGGTCGGCAGCGGGCTGGGGAGTTCCCTTGGGAGCGCCTGCTCCCCCCTGTCCTCCCAAACGCGACTGCCCTCCCTCAGGAAGGGGAAAGACACGGTGAGAGGGGCGTCGGGGGATCGGAGCGGGGTCGCCGAAGGTGACGTGAGGCTGGGGTCCGTCATGCTGAGTTTGGTTGGAGGAGAACGGGGATGATGTTGCTGCTGCCGCTGCTGCTGCTGCGATTCAAGCTGCAGTCTGCGAGCGTGCCGCTAAACACAGCTGTCTTCAGTGAGGCCTCCTTCAGTGTGGGACAAGGCCTCAGCAAGTTATCCAGGTCAGCACTGTCACTTCAAGTCGATCAGGAGGACGTGCTGTGAGGGAGATGGAGGCAGGATGAGAGTGCTGTCACACTGCTTTAGACATGTAGACGCGACGGTGCAGAGGAGAGCTGAGAGGAGCTTGTTTCTGTCAAATACTGGAGAGGAGCGGTGTCAAACTTTGATTGCAGGCCAGATAGTAGTTACGGTTGAATTGACGGTAAATTATTATAATAGAGCTTTTGCACACATTAATATATTTAACAATCATCATCCCTGGTAAGTATGAGGTATTAATTTTTATTTTCGGCATGTTATTAGATGAATATTGATTCTGAACTGCTCCAGCTGCTTCATTTTTTACAGAATTGATGGGTTTTAGACCTGCAAAGTGATAGCAGTGATATTAATAGGTGCATTAATTGGGGTACGTACCAAAGGCATGGCATTCAACAACAGTGAGTGGTTTCCTAAGTATAATTTATTGCAGCATGTTGATATTGTGATGCAACAACAACAATAAACACAAGTATATTAAAAAAAAAAAAAAAAAAAGCTTCCAAGCAGAATTTATGGAGTCTAGTTTCTGACAAACAGTGAGGACAGCGTACAGTTTTTAAGAGACTATTTTTTTTTTTAAACAAAGACAATGTTGGTGTCTTGAACAGATTGAACCCACATTTTAACAGGTGAACTTTCTAATAGCACCAATCGGGTCCTTTTACGATGTCGGGAAGCATCCGAGCCAGGATTTAGACCGTTTCCATATTTGATTGATCGTTACGTATGGAAATACCTTTTAAATGGAAGGTCATACCAGGACGAATTCAAATTCGACTGCCACATTTTTAAGGACTAGCTTTCTCATGGTACAACCTCACCACCTTAACCTCTCCAATTTGAGATTCAGACTATTTTGACTGTGTGGAAAAAAAAATTTTGAGGGCAATATGGTTGGACAAAAAAAAAACCCAAAACACTGATGGTTGCAATTGGAAATAACTTTTGAAAAGAAACTCACTTTAGGGTAAATTTAAGTGGCACCTTCAGATTCTTCGAAAAGAAAGTCATTTTAGGGTAAATTTAAGTGGCACCCTCAGATTCTTCGATCCCTAATCATCCATTGACAGCAGAAATAGAGACAAGTCCTGGCTCGGACACTTCCACATCGCAGAAGTACACACTGAACACAGTGGGGCTGTGACTATAACCTGAACCCCCATATTCAGGGGAATTCATCTGTTTTGTCATTCCATGGATCATTGTGGTTTGAAATAATCACCAGGGCTAATTAAAGAGTTTGTTTTGGTTGCCCTCCCCTTCTTTTGTCCATTTGCGTAGGGCGCGATCCCGGCAAATTACGGCGAGCCAAAGCTTGGGTGAACTTTGAAGGTAATCATGCCTGCCGCGCCGGCGCTCGGCGGTGTCACTCTCGCCCTAATGAGGCCCCGGCCATGAGCGGCGGCCATTAGCAGGGCTCAGCGGTGCCGGCATCTGAGCCGGGAGCTGCCTCCGCGCAACCTAATCTCCAGGCGCTCCCGGAGGACCCGCTGCCATGAAGCCGCTTGTAAAGGCTCCAGCTGTGCCGAACACGGAGAACATTTGAAAACAGACAGAGTCGCGATGAAAATGTGTCATTTAAACAAGCAGCAGGTGCAGCGACGACATTTTTATGCAGGGAACATCGCATCATAAATTCATGGAACCCCAGAGATCACATGGGGGGAGGGGTGAATCGTTCATTGTAGCCACATGATAGAATGAAGTTGTAGCCACGAAACACTTTTTTTAATACAAGTTTAATACAAATTCTACTTTTTGCTCACAAATAAAGAATGTTCATGTTTCTGCTGTTATTCGAGCGGACCGAATTGTGTCGGTGTGAATGCACCCTCACATACGCAAGGCAGATGCACTGCCCCTCTGCACTTCCTGTTGTTTTAAAATCCCAAGGGAATTTAGTGCCCTTTTTTTTTTCTTCTTCTTCTCCCCCATTTCCAGTTTCAAGTGTTTTGAATTCCGCTCACTGTGTCATCAGCCCACTCTGCGCCTGAATAATTCATAACAATATTTATTAGCACTCTGAGGTACAATTAGATGAATTGGGATTAAGAATTGGCTCGTCTGCGAGGAGGGAGCGCAGCAAAAAAAAAAAAAAAAAAAATTATAAAAAAAAAAAAAAAAAAAAGCTTCCAAGCAGAATTTATGGAGTCTAGTTTAGTCTTTAAACAAAGCAACATTTTACATGATTTCTTCATAATTGATTTAAGAGGGATGATTCATTGCACTGCTGTAAAGCCACTCTGCTCTGTGTGCGTCAAAAAAAAAAAAAAAAAAAAGCTTCCAAGCAGAATTTATGGAGTCTAGTTTAGTCTTTAAACAAAGCAACATTTTACATGATTTCTTCATAATTGATTTAAGAGGGATGATTCATTGCACTGCTGTAAAGCCACTCTGCTCTGTGTGCGTCTCACGCCCACTCCTGTATGTGATGCTCGCGGGTGACGTCAGAACAGCTGCAGGAGGCCACCGAGGAGTGACGTCAGCAACCCCGTCCCCAATTCCCAGATGACTATGCTATAGAAATCACATTATTTTTATTTATTTGGAAGTAGCGGCAATAATACAAAACAGGAGGAGCAAACGGTGACACAATGAAACTG